TCAGATTTCCCTGCTGAGAAAGCACTCAGGAGATCCTGTTCCCGTTTTCCTGCAGTGAATTTATACATACACATTCTGAGCGCTGCTCCTAAGGTAACAGGGGCCTGCAGCAGGACCTGGGCAGGTCTCAATGCACGTCAAGCATGAGACTAACCCTTGCTCACTGCCTTGCCCCAAGGTCACTATCCCGCTCAGCCCTGCAAAGCCTAAGTCAGAAGAAGGCTGGCAAGAAATACACAAGAAAACAGTTTAGGAGACTTCTTTTACTTCATGCTCTAGAGTTTGCTCATGTTACCTCATCTCCACCCTGGTGAATTAGAAGTTATTCCCCAAGGAATGTGACGCTCACAGTGCTGTTGTGTTGACCTGGTATTTTTGTGTTAGGAATGCATTTGTGTTGTCTATAGACCTGAGATGAGTGACAAGAAGAGCCTGAAGAGCTTTAAGGAAACACCTGCCTTTTAATGTGCCTTGAGCTGGAGCTTGTCGCAGATATTCGCCTCTCCTGTTACCTTGAATTCACCTCTGGCCACTGGCCCCCTTTTAAATGCATTCTGCCAAACTGGAGCACAGGCAACCTCTGTCCTCTCCTTAATTTTTACTAATAAAATAAAAAGTCCTTTTCAAAGAAACTGATTCCATCTCACCGACAGGCAACGTTTAATGTTATTTATATGCCCTTAACATAGTTTAGAATGGATCTTATTCATTTGTAGTTGTAAGTGTACACGTAAGTTATGGCTTTGTTTCTATTATTTATATGCTTCATATGCAAACCTGCTTCAGAACAGGAATCTAATTTTAGAAAATAAACATGCATTTGAAACTGGACAAATCTGAAAACTAAACATTAACTGTGTAATATGTTTTCTTATCAGGAACATAAACGGTATCTTAGAATACTAAGGATGCATTACATATATTAATGAGGGTTTTACCACATACTATATACCAAGAATGCCTTTTTTTTAACCATTAAGTTATTCAATATTCTTTTATATTCAGTGCCATCAAACTGATAGCTAGAAGTTATGAAATATATGCCTATGAACTAGTAGCTACTTAGTATTTTTATCTCAACAAAGGATTTTAGATGATGGTTCATGTAGAACTTTGAGCCTCAACTATAAATAAAGAGCAACTGCTTCACAAATCCCCCCGCTGCAGTTTAAGATTGTATTACAAAACTGACAAATGATTTGCAAAAGAGAATGAGGAACCCTTGTTATCAAGACACTCTTCCACTAAATCCAGAACAAGATGCCCGGGTAATTTTACACGCACGGGCAGGACGGATGGTGTCACGCTCGCCTCGCAGCTTCCAGATGTGCTCCCGGATGGGAATGGCATCGAGGCGCGCCTGAAGATTCGCTTAGGCTTCTCCTGAACTCGTCACCCCGGGCCTTGCTGGCCCCGCTCGCTGCCTGGGCTGCAGGTTAAGAGGGGCTGACCCCGGCGTGGTGATTAGCACCAGATACCCACGGGCAAACGGGCAGGGGGGCAGCTGAGCCTGCCCAGAGCTTCTATCAGTGTTTATCAGTTTAAACTGTTTGGGGAAAGGGGGTAATCACAATAGATCTGCGCGGGCTTGTGACAGCTGACAGGCTCATTGTTTAAGACTTTTTTTAACGAAGTTGTTAACATTAATTCTTCTATATAGTACGCTAATCTTTTTCAAATTATGTTCCAACATGGCACAAACCGCTTGGCATTGAAAGTCATTCAACAGTGATTAAAGTGCTCTTTTTATCAGTTTAAGGATGTTTCATCTCATGGAATCATTTGCTAATTAGACTCCCTCGCATCCTGTTGTGTCCCACGCAGAGGGCATGCGAGCGGGGAAGCTGCTGAGCAAAAAATTAACCCTCATTATAAAGTGTCCCCGGGCTGAAATTATGACAATGTTGTTCGAAGGGCTGTGTTGAGACGGGGTAAGAGGTATTTGGGGCAGCTCTTTGCCCATCAGAGCAGGGTTATCTGCCGCCCTGGCTCTTCCCCAGGGCTGCTCTATGAGCTGTGGCTGCAGAGAGGTGATTTAGCCCTCTGACCCATCCCGTGCAGCACAGCCCTCCCTGCCAAAATTATTGCTTGACTCTCAGGGGCCATGGTAGTGGTGCCCGTGCTGCCCTTGGCACGCACATGAGCAGAGCATCCAATGCCTGAGTCAACTGCCTGGCGCTCGGCAGGAAAAAAACAGTGCGGGGAAGCTCCAAGAGTCCGGCGTTTAGCCTCTGCTTTGGGATTTGCCCTTGGAGAGAAGCTCTTTGTCGTCATTAGTTCCTGCCCACTGCTCTGAGATACCCAAGCTTTGTCCTCCCTCAGCAATGGGATAAATATGGCTGCGTTTCTCTGAAGTTTTTAAAAAAAGAACTTCTGCATCCATGAGAGAGCCATTGTACAACGTCTTCCAACCCAGTCAAGGGGACCGAGACGGTTGGGAAGAGGTAAAGGACCATGGAAAAGCAAATGGCACGTTGCTTGCATCCAGCCCCCGGGAAGCGCTGGAGGCACCGCAGGGTAAAGTGCTTTGGGCTTCCAGCCACGTCATCTTTTATCACTCCGAGTAAATATCCTACGCTCACACAGGAAAGGCTGCGCTCGCCACTCGGATGTGCGGCACCATCAATGTTTGAGGTATAAGCCACTGCTGTTGTAATGGGGGACGTGTTTTCTGCCTGCTGAGAAATTTGTTTAAAACTCACCAGATTTGGCTCATTTGAAAAGATGAATTGTTGTTTGGTTTGGATTTTAATCTCCTCCGATAAACTACCATTTTATGAATTAGCCATATTCTATTATAGCTAGCCTGAGTTTAGCTTGGCTGGAGTGATGCTTTTCAGCAAGAGCTTAAGGGCTTTCGCTCTGCATTGGGCACTTTAGTTTAATTTTACCATTCTAATAAAAGTCCACTTGAATTGCTTTGCTAAACCTAATAATACTCTTCAGGGACTTTGAATCATTCTAAACAGCTGAATACAGTGATCATACCTGTGCTGTGGAGCTTTATAGGACAGTTCAAATGAGTATAGCAACTTTATTGTTCTCTATTAATATTATTTTTAGTAGAACTCTCTTGCATTTCCCCTATTGCCTTTAAGACACTTTCTCTTTTTCTTTTTTTTTT